ATTAGCTGGATTGTACAGCAAAGTTCTATGAATTTTTGGCATGACAACTGGATGGGGTCAGAAGTGTTAGGCAATAAGATGGAGATCTTCCATGACCATTTGGTGGCTGATTTTGTTGCTCGGGGGGACTGAAATGTTGCAATGCTTAATCAATATTTGGATGTGGGTCTGGTTGGGCGCGTTCTGGAGGTCGCACCCCTGTCTTTTTGGGACAATGATAAAATGGTTTGGGCTTGACAAATTCTGGCACCTTCTCCACATCATCGGCCTACTCACTTGTCCAATGGGTTAATAACAGATCATGGTTTTTTGCCTTTGTCTGGCAGTAGGGTCTTCCAATTAAAATTTCATTCTTTATGCTGTGATTGCTACAGGGCAGGCTCCCTCTTATGGACCAATTGAGGAGATTGGGGATAAGCAACCCTTCCAGGTGTTGGTGTTGCCAGGATCCATGGGAGGAGGACCTGAATCAGTATCACTTATGACATAAAAACAATAGAAATTGCATTACTCTAATGAAAAATCAACCCCAAAAACCTGCCATGTACAAACTCATATAAGAGAACTCATGATGAACCTCTCAAAATCAAACCAAATTGCAATAAATCTCCTACTCACTTAGGATCAGTACCTAGAGAAAAAGTCACTTTCCCTTGTTAGCTCACCTTTCAAGACCAATTAGATGTGTATTATTTCAGATGTTCAGGTGACTAAGTAAAAATAATACTTGAAGGCTGTATATCAAAAGGTTCCTTGGCTTTATACCCAAAATGCATCTAACTCATTCAATATCCTATCTTATTGAAAGCAAATAGTTTCTCACCTCTATTTCATATAAAAATTCAATCAACATATAAGCTCTATGGTTTTGAAATATATCGATAAAAAGATAGGTAAATACAATGATATAGGTTATGATCTTGTGATCAGGAATGATTGGTAAATTGCATAAAGATTTATCCTTATTTCAAGTTGTCATGAAAGATAAGTCAACAATGGACTTTATGAGCTTATAATATGGTTTGAAAACGATAGATAAAAGAAATAAGACTTTTAAGGATATTTGCACTTATGATCGCATTTCTTTAAAAATTGCCCCAATCTTGAGCTTATGCTCAAAAATCATTGACTCCACTTCGACTTCTATCATCATCACTGGAGAGATTTCAGCATTGAATCATTTTTTCTTTTTCTCTCCTTTTGTTTTCTTTCCTTTTTTTTTTTTTGCTTCTTTTTTGTGCTTTTGTCCCCCTTTTCACCAATATTGATGTTAGAATTAAAACCCTTAATTTTTAATAGATGGATGAATTTTTTTTTGAATACTTCACATCACTTTTAAGAAATTTAACTTTTTTTTTCTATTGTTGAAAAATCTCAAATCTCTTGCCCGAGTGTGGGGCTATGATTCTAAGTGCTTTTGAAGCAAATTACCAATTTAGATTCAAATAGGGATTCAAACGATAAACAGTGTTTAGATTGTAAAAACGATGGCCAAAGTATCATTCCTAAGTCACATGACAATCAAAATAAAGAACAACTCAATAGGAGAATCCATTCCTTTTTGACATTTGAAAATTCACCCAATGTAACACCATGGCTCTTATTTGAAACGAAATTATCCTTCTGATGTTCAAATGGGAGAACAGATGATAAATGTGACAGCCCCACCTTCTCCTAGGGCGTACCCTAAGGGTTAGCGAACTGCCTGCCCAACTCTCGCCAGAACTACTAAGTCGCACACACGAATGCCAAAGCAGTCCGAATGATAACACCGCAATCAATCGATTCAACGACAACAAATAATAAAGAACGAAAATGAAAATGGAAGTGAACAGTGACTGCCACGTCACAATCCGTCTTGGCCTGATTGCCAGCCGGATTTGAGGCAGAGAGCAACCGAAATTTTTTTTTTTCAAAAACCCCTGCTAATCCGGTCAAGAACTGGCCGGATATACAGCCGGATTTGATGAACAGTTTCTCGCCAATTTTTTTTCTTTTCTCGTTCAAACTCTGCACTCGTCCGAATCCCAATCAAGTATAAGTAGACTTTATATAAACTTAGAGAATGTACATACCCAAGCAATTATACCACATAGCCATAAAGAAACACTTCTAAATACACACTTTGATAACTTTACAAATCAAAAGAGAACATTTGATTAAGATACAATTAGTGTTTGTCCAATTACAGAGGAGCTTTACAAAAAAATATCTATACTAGCTCGACTCTTTTTTCAAAACATCACAGTTCCAAACATTAGGCCCTGTAAGGAAAATAAAGGCAACGGGGTGAGCTTTCGCCCAATGAGGTACCACATGCCAAGTATATGAGAATCACGAAAGTACAATCTTACTCAATCCAAGTCCAAATATAACCATCACATATAAACAAGAGTAAAAGGATACAAACGGCTCTCAAGAGCCCTTTTCCTCTTTTGCAGTACTTGGTCACATCTCATTGACTCTCCGTCAATGTATAACGAACAAATATGACCGTAGACCCCACTTTACTTCAATTCTGTCCACCACACATACCCCTTACCGGGTCCGAACACCAAACAGAATAGAGGTGGTAATACTTGAGTATACCGAAATCCAGAGTCTCAATACCCAAAGATTCCCAGAAACAGTCCCCATGGCTTGTCAATTTTCCTCGACCAAGCCCCTTGCTGGCTCAATTCAATTGACTACCAATGAGGTTGAGCTCAGATTTAATAGTAAAAGTCGTTGGATACACGTCCAAACAACACCAATTCAAGCACAACCAAGAGATTCCAAACGATACAATAAACAGTCAAGTACGCAATAGAGAACGAGTATGATAAAGTACACTCTCGTCTCATTTAGAACAAACAAAGATTACAGTCATTCCAATTACAGTCATTCCAATCACAGATTTCAAGTACGCATAAAGCAACGAAACAACAATTAGTGAGTGGTACACTCACCAGCTCAAATAAAGTTAACTTTATATGTTTCCTCCCGAAGTACGCCTTGAGTCACCGGCACGTCCTATGAACAACCAAGAAAACAATTGAGACTCGATTACAAGTCGTTTACCTATTCAATAAACTACTAATGCAAGGCCAAATAGAACTTGGGAGTGAAAAATAAGGAACACTTGGTGCCAAAGGTTTAGACAACCACAAAGTCTCTCATTTCCACTCAAAGGAACCCAACTCAAAGGAATCACATAGAGTCAAAAATTGGACAACATTTGCCCTTAGCTTTCCTTACTTTTCCACCCTACAAACAAGCACTAACTTTAATTCAACTCAACCACAATTGCACACACAACACATAAGTTATAAACCACACCTAACTAGAGTCACAATATCCTTCAATCTTAGCCAATTAAAAGCTTTAAAACCAACCATAATAAAGCCCTAATTTGAAGCCCTAAAACTGAAATTTTATGCACAAACTAAAATTTTTCGCAAACAACCGCAACCAACACACAAAAGCTCCATTTTACACAATATAAAGCTATCACTCCATAGTCAACCATTAATCATCATATAAGGACAGAAAATTCACCAATAAATCTGAAATTTATCACAACTCTACTTTAATCCATGAAATCTTCCATAAAACAACCTATTTAGCCACTACAAGTCACTAATTTACCATTATTAAAACAAAGAAGGAGTTTCTAAGCAAAATACCTTGAAACCTCAAGAAAGGTAGTAGTTTAGAGTTTCCTCTTCCAAAACAACTCCACTAATACCTCTAACCCTCCTTAGCAAGTAACTTTAATGGAGGAATTTGCAAATTAATCGGTTGAAACTCAAGATTTGGACAAGAAATTGAAGTTACAAGATGAAATCTTCTCTCTTTTCTTCTCTCAAAGGGTTCGGCCATGAGGGAATAAAAATGAAGAACGCTTGGTCAAAATTGATGTTTTAGTAAAGGTAAAGAAAGGTGGTCAAAGTCCAATTTCAAATAGTAATGCGACACGTGGCGTCATTAAGGGTTATTCCTATCCTCTTGCTTACAAATGGTTAAATACCTAGCTAACCTCTAATTATCTCCTAATACCTAGTAAAATAATATCCATTAATACAAAACTTGACCTAGTCGACAAAATTTATCGCACTTAACGCACTAGCGGGTCTCACGTCCCATAAGTACTTCTAACATCACATAAACTAACTTATATTAGAAAAATGATTTTAAAACTATATTTACTTATAAAAATATCTAGAAAATTAATATAATAAAGAAAATATCGAAAATGTGTGCAAAGAAATAAAATAATGCCTAGAAATTAAGAAAATTTTCGGGTTCTCACAATAAAAACCTGTATAGATAGAGAAATGAATGCCTAAAGTATCATCCCAAATTTTCAAAACAAATAAGAACAATGAACACTTTTGCTTTCAACTAAATATGGATTGAATCTAGTTAAACACATTGGAGCCCTTCCCCACTTTGAAGTATATCAACCAAAGTGCTTGATTCTAGAGGCTTGATAGAGTTGGGCAGAATATGAATAGCAAAAATGCAAAAGACACTACAAGAAAAATTATATTTGGAGGCACAACAAAATGATGCAATAGGGAACTTTTAGAGGCACTTAGACTATTGAGGCATACACATCAAATGTCTACTAAACTACCCGTTTGGAAAAGGTTGGAGGCGTTTTTAATGCCATGTTTAATGAATTTGATGCATTCACAATTGCCATGATAGAAATTGCAAATAGGCACACACCAATGTCTCTAAAGATGCACTATAAAGGCACTTTACTTGGTATCATTTTTGTCCTTTTTAGGACACTTGTACATGTTGCCAAAAGGTAATTGTCTAGGCACAATGAGGTGCATTATATACATTAATGGAGGCAGTTTACAGTGTAGTGTTTACCTGTCTTTCAAGGCATTTTCTACCATTGTAAAAGGAATCTCCAAACACTCAAAAAGTGTTACGATATGTGGTTGTACTAGGTGCATTAGTTTCAATGTAGGCATTGGCAAGTGCCTCAATAGATGTCTTTTTTTTTGGTACAATTTTCATCCAAATTTTCTACTCTAATCTCCTATACAATATGCCAAACACATAATATGCAATAGTAAGATAGCCACTATGCCAAAGAATATAAATCTGCTTGAAAGCAAAAAACTAGTGACATCCTAAATAAAGCAAAAAGTTCCACAAATCTGAAGTTAATTAAAAAACTAGCATTAATGCTTCTTTAACCAAAAGGCTGCCATCCAACTCTTGCAATAGAATCCAGCAACATCCTCAAGAACACAAAATATTCCACAAATTTGAAGTTAGCTCAAAAACTAGCATTGCTTCTCTAAACAAAAAGCTGCTGTCAATCCTCATGAATCTTCACCTATAAAATTAGTAGATTAAGTAAGAACACCACTTCATTATCCATCCAACTTACAAATATTTGTAAAGGAAAAAACTTGAACAATCTTGTGTCAAAGTATACCAATTTCAGTGGCCAAGCAATCGGTGTACCAAGTGCATCTTCAATTGTTTGCAATAGCCCATAAGGCCTAATCAATTGTTCATTGCGTTCCACCACAATTTGTACTAGTATTTCACACAAACATGGTCCTAATGGTTGTTCGCCAACAACTTTAGAAGGATCAATTCCTTGGAGGCGACCAATAGCTAGACATTTTGTTGGATCAAACAAGTTGAAAATATCCACCCAATCACCTTCCTACAAGATAATTTGAAGTCATAGAATTGAATTAGGTAGATTTATTTTTAAAAAATTTGGTAGAGTTTCCCTTGCATTTTGAGCATTTCTCCAATTTTCAGTAATAAAACTTAATAACCATGACTTTACTAAGTTGAAATTACCATGTTTTACTATTCAACATAACCAAACAAAATAGCAGTTTAATGAATCAACAAGTTTCAAACAACAAAAGTGAGTATCCTCATATGGTATAATCACAATAAATTCTTGAAAAAAAATCATAAACATACCTGAATAGAATGAGCACCAATACGTGATTTTGAAACATGATTAGAGGACGTTGAATTTATCGAGCCACTAGTTTTTGAGCCACTATTTTGCTGCTGACACACCATTGCTTTGAGCTCTGCAAGTTCTTTGGCTTGGTCTTTCAGCTGCTGATCTTGCTCAGCAAATTTATCTTCCATCTTAGAAATTGCTGCCTTTTGCTCCATAACAATACGCTGACAAGTGCTGCGACTGGGTACGTTACCCCATTTGTCTGATGGTGTCACACCTAGACTATACATGCGCACACACCCATTGTTATCTTCCCCAAATACTTGGGCAAATGCATCATTACGACCAACATCATCATTAGAACCAGGGGGAAGTTGGCTAACTGTTCCTTCAAAGCTGGCTGTATTCAAAATCCAGAAAAAGTTCAATATTACTAAAATCGATTATCTTACATCAATGAAAGTAGAATCAGTCTTAAGTTAGTAGACAATTTAAGTCATTTAGAGTACTAATTTCATCAACCAATTAGTAACTTACTAATGTAGCTGTAACGTCATCATTTCCCGGGTTTCCGTTTGAGTCAGTATAACAGTGTTCAAACATGTCAACTCGTGATGGGAGATGACCTAATTTTTTCATCTATAGAAAATGAAGTCTTCATAAGACCACTAGGTGATACAAGAAAAAACTAAATGAAACCAAAAGGTTAAAAAGATTTATCAATTTCTTTCGAATTTGAGCATACAATTTCTTCCTTGTCTTATGAGCAAACCATCCATCGCATCCGGAAAGGCTACTTTCACAAATCAAGTAACATATCAAAAATTTTGTTACTGAGTTTACCAAGGCATTTGAGGTGAAGCAACCGAATCATAAAGGAAAGTTTTGAGAATCTTTTACATCCAGAGTAAAGCTCTTTGTTAGAATTATCAATTAGATTGTAAAACTTTTCAGCTTCTACATTGGGCAACTGGCTTTTGTGACGCCCCCACTTCTCCCTAAGGCGAACCAAAGGGTATCCGCGGGACGCCTGCCCAACTCTCGCCAAGACTCAAGCAATTCCATTCAAACTTATTACCAGTCTACACAACACAAGTAAATAACTTAAATACAGTAAATGCGGAAGCATTCAAGCTTAACAATAGTCATTCATTAACCAACCCGCACGTCGGGTGTTCAAAGTATATCTTAAATCCCAAATATACATCACGCCCCAAATGTTACATTTCAAATCTAAAAGTACAACCCAAAATCAAGGGCATAGCCAAAATGTAATAGAAATCCTAAACAAAAGTACATCAGGAGGGTTTCTCCAATACATCTCCGAGTTCAATCCTATTAAGGAAAATAAATCTACAGGGTGAGCAAAACGCTCGTGAGGCCAAGAACACACATGCAAGCACGTAGTCCAGATAATAGTCCCAAATAACAGTTCAAGGGATAATTACAAGTAATTAATAAAGCCAGTGAAAGTAAACAGAAACAATTCAAGGATATAGTAGCTCTCAGGAGCTAAGTTCCACTTGCTGTGTCGATGACATTCGTATACCTCCCCGCGATGACACTCCGTCAACCGAGTCAGTATTTCCAATCCGTAGAACTCAACTAACTTCCCATCCGTCCACCGTACACCGCTGCGGGCCCGCACGATATTTATAAGGCAATACTCCACGAGTATGCCAAGCAAGATCTCTCAATAGATCAAGCTTATCATGTGAATCTCATGGCTCACCGAGATTCCCGACCAAGCCCATGCCGACTCGAGTTCCATGGTTGGCCTATGAGTTTGGGCGTCCCCCATGTACATGTAAATGTCGAGGAGATTCACTCCAACGACGTATGCACTCATAGCATACCAAGTCATGTATACAAGTATTTGATAGGTCCAAGCATGCAATTCAGGATATGTAAGTCTAGCAAGCCAGGCCAAGCATGAATCATTTATTTCAAATGAGTACGAGTGCGATAAAGTACACACTCGACTCCATTTTGTCAAAACCAGGTAGATTAAGCAAGACAAGCATGTATCAAGTTCACAGGAGTTCAAGTAAACATGCACTTGACACTCACCAAGTAGTAAGTAGTCTCAACCGAAATTTAAGCGTTCACCGTAGGATCCTCTTGAGGGTCCTCGTGTGCGCCTGAGCAAATAATAGTGAAGTATCACTCATATATCCCAATTATCAAGGAAGATTGTACACTAGTACAATCTAAGGAAATTTCATGAAAATGAACCTCAATTACTCGTAAATCGAGATTTAAATGGAGTTTCTTAAAGTACACGGGTAATCAAGTTTTCATTTTGGGAAATCAAGTATAAAACGTTCAAGAAATATTGAAGGAATAAGGAGTACTTGAAAACTCCCTTCCCTTGGAATTTGGAAAAACTTCAGGTTTGATATGATACTTTGAAAAATCGTATCTCACATTCTATATGCCAAATATTGGAAAACTTGGTGCCGTTGGAAACCTTTTTGAAAGTACTAAAAGTTCTTAGAAGGCACTTTTCCATGATTCTAAAGGGAAGGTACTAAAAATGAGCTCAAAGTTACTGTTTCCGGGCATTCAAGGTTGTGTCGGGGTTGGTTTTTCGCTAACTTTGGAAATCCGGCAAAATTCACACGTTCCGAACCAGCCTCTGAAATTTGTAACTCAATTAAAGTTGCAAGTAAGGTTTATAACAGAACAAGAGGATCAAGAATCGGGTTTCGAGCACCGAGATACGGTAGCTCAAAGTTTGGGAAAATTTGAAACTGTTGAACAAATTTCCAGATTTGAGTTTCCGACTTTGGGACTTTAGTTAGGTATCGAAATGGACTTGGATTGGTACAAAATTTGGCAGTATAATACTCCTATATAAAGGGCATCCCTATATCAAATTTCATGGAAAAAATGCTTTCGGAAAAGTAGTCAACCAACCAACTAAAGTTTCAAAAAATTCCTCAGGCCAAACTGTCTTGAGTTTTTCTTTCTTCATTTCCAAACATTTGGCCCAGAAAATCCTTCAAACTTAGTTAATTTGTGTAGGAAAAACGTAAGGAACATTTATGGTACATTTGGTAAGTGTTTATCTCCAAGAAATTCAATTGACAAGTTCACACCAAGTCAAGTATCAAATCTGCCTAGAATTTAGGGTTTTCAAGAACAGGGCAGGTTCCGTATTTTGGTCACAAATCACTCAATTTAGCTCTGAATTGAGAATGGTTGGTGGCATTGGAAAAAACATTCGTAAAGATTCAATTTCTCAAAAGAAATTGTTTTGAAATTCAGCACACAACTAGCTCAAATTCGAGCCTCAAGTTGCACCTTCTGAACTTCGTTCCAGGAAAACATAGAAACAGAACAGTCATGTTTAAATGGTTGGTACGGGCTGCTAGGATGAAATTTGGGGTTGTATTTTATACCGTTAGAAAGCTGAGAATGTCTAGTTTCAAATGCCACTAATGGCACTCGATTTTGATGTCGGAGTACAGAGTTATAGACAAAACAAGCGAGCTGTCTGACCATTACAGGAACAGTTTTCCAGATTTACTAACTTCACGAAATTAATCCATTTGACCAACCAAACCTCAATATTTTTCAATGAAATTTTATACACCATCTATACAACATATAAACATCATATACCAGCCATTAAATCCCCAGAATTCTGCAGAAATAGGTACGTTCAAAGCAGGGGCAGAATCGAAACTTTTTACCCCATGCACTCCTTGAAGTTTATACTAATAATACACCATTAATCTACCATTTTGAGAACTAAACCAACATTAAATCCATCATCAAGCATGAGATCAGCCCTCAAGACAAAGGCGGGAGTTCATAGAGCCCACCCATTTCATTTTACACCATAAACAAGCTAACCAATGGCATACTAGAGCTTAATCATGCAATATAACTTCCACAAGATAAGATTCTATGAGTTGATCATTATGTACCTCCTTGGTGTGCAAAGACCAGAAATTTCGGCCCTCTCTTTGCTCAAAAATACCGTGAAAAGCTCCTTGTTTTTGTAGCTAGATGGACTCTCCAAGTGTTAAGCTAAGTATGGTTAAATTTTGGTTGCATTTGATGGTGTTTTTGTTGAAGAAATGAGGATGAAAAATGAAGAACTTGGGTGTTGTTTTTGCAGCTTGATGGCCGGCTATTCTTGTGAGGAAGAGAGAGAGAGAGTTGATAAAAAATGTAGCTTCCTTGGGAAGCTTCAAGGTGTGGCCCAAGTTGTTGCAAAAGTCAACTCTCCTCCGCGCGTATACGCGTGCGTTTTGGGCTCGATTTCTCTCGAGTTTATTTCACTAGTGCACTAAACCTCCAATACACTTATATTCATATAAATATTATTCACTCTTAATTGTTCCAAAATAATGATCTAAAGTCCCTCAATTAAAATCGCGCGTGTGAAAACGCGTACCACCAATTTAAGCGCGATAACGCGAAACTTTCGAGAAATCCCTATAACGATTGTACTACTAACTATCACTTGAGTACTTAAACATAAAATTACCTATTTTAGGACTATTGTACAAATCTCCAATTTTCCAAACTTATTGTTGTCGCGCCCCACTTTTCGAATCGAGTGAATGTGGTGTGTGAGATGTGAGTGTGTATGAAATGTGAACGTGTGAAAGTGAAAACAATGAAAGGCCATGGGACTTAGGAATGCGACGATTTGGCCAAGTGAAGTTCGAAAAAGGGTTTTTAATAAAAATGGAGTCGCCACTTGGTATAGAGTTAGGGTGTACCAAGTCACCCAAAAAATGATTTTTGTTTTTGAATGAAAGAAAGTAAATAAACCCTTTTAAAGAACTTTTGGGTCTACGTAACCAAAAGAGGGATCGGGGGTCACATTTGACGGAGGGGAAGGCAAGGATAAAAATCCAAGGCACCCCTGCGACCTAGCCAAGGCTAGTTGCGTGACTTAAACCAATTTTTCCTAACTTTTCTACCCAAGGTATGTATCGCATGTTGGATATGACTACGTGAATGCAAAAACCTAGACCTAGGGGACATGGGGGAAATTTCTCTTCAAAGGGTGAGTGGTGCCAATCACATTAATTGTGAAGCCCAATAATGATCCTTTGGAGAGGTCACACATAAATCTAAATGACGTACAAATGAGTGGAATGCATGCCATGTGAAAGTGTGAGTTTGTGTGAAGTGAGAAAAATGATAAAAGTAATAAGATAAGAGTGAAGGTGTGCAAATGTAGATGAAAGTACTCGTGTGCGAGTGAAGATAAAAATGTTCGTGTGCAAGTGAAGATAAAAGGGTTCGTGTGCAAGTGGAGATAAAAAAAGTGTTCGTGTGCAAGTGAAAGTGATAAAAAGGTGCATGTGTGCAAATGAGACAAAAGTGAAAGTGTAATGATAGAGTGGATTGAGAATGCATGAGCCTAGGGAATTCATGCATATTGGGTACGGGGAGACCTAAATCGTGACTTGATTTTCCCTTTGATTAGAAGGCAAAACTAGCGTGCTAAGGCTATCGAGTAGCCACACTCGCTCGTTTCCCTTATCGGAAGGGGACACTCAAGCAAAATGAACCCTATAGCTAGTATGGGATGCAAAACCTAAAGTGAGGGGAAAGGGGAATCGAGGAGCATGCCAGATGATAAAACTAAGAAAAAATGCATGATATGTAGT